TATATATATATATATATATATTATATATATAATTTCTTCAGATTTTATAAGTTTTCTCCAGAAATTAGAATGAGAAATCTTAGAATATTTCAGAATTTACTTATTCATTTATATAAAGAAAAAATATAGATTTTTTCAGCATGTTTCTGAAAAGTGTGTTCAATTTGTATAAAAATCTGAAAACTCTTAAAAGGTTATAAACTTACATAAAAATTGTGAAAGATTTAAATATATAGAAATTCTAAAAATAATATGAAAAATTCTCACTAGGAATAGCACAGTGAAACAAATGTTTAAAAGCGATTAACTCACAATCAGTATATAAAGTTTTCCATTGATAATTCTGCAAGAGTTTCGAAAATCATGAAATAAAGATCTTCGATCGATTTCAGCAACAATGTAGAAAATGCGATTCAAGGAAATTAGATTTCTCCGTTGATTTGTCTAAGATTATCTAATTGCAAGAATGTATCGCCCGATCTAACCAATAATTAGACCGTTTATTGATCGTCTCGCACTATGATCGCTATATAAGATAAAGAAAAAATCTTATTGTCGTAGCAAAACCGTCGTTGCATATTCAATATGAAAGACACCAAACTTTGTCGTTGTTGTTACCAATATAGTTTGATAGTACGATAAAAATAGGTTCTTTTTTTTGCAAAAAAACTTCATGTAGTAAATCTGATAGAAACACATTAGTTTGCTGTTGAAGCAAAATAGTTCGACAAATCTATATATGACACGCAAAAAATTATTTTCAACAAATATAGTTAATATTCTCAACAAATTTCAAATTATTTTATTATAACAACAAATTGTTTCAACAGAAAGATATGCTAAAGATTATATAGATTATATAGATTCTACCATTTTTTATTTTAGCAGCAAACTCGTTTTTTTACGATTAAATTTATTCGATAAGATTATTCAATAATCTTGTTGTGATATCAAATAATTGATGCAGCGGATTTCAATTATTTTGTAATAAAAAAAATGTGCAAAAAAGCTGCAATTTTGTTGTGATAACTAAATTATTATTTTGCATTATACTAACAAACTATTAGTACCAACAAATCTACTCTTTCTCGTTCTCTCTCATGAGCGTCGCATTACAGGACACTTATATTGCTTTAGTCCGGCATCGAGGATGAATTTCGACGTATATGTGACGAGATCGCACACATAAATATTTTAGGATTTTCTCGCATAACAGAGTTTATAAATGGATATTGTAACATAGATATGCATATAGACAAGATATTTCCGAAAAATGATGACAAGGTTAAAAGAATGAAAAATTTCATAAAATTGTATAATTTTTTTTAAGTAACGCATGTTCGCATGTTTCAAAGATGATTTCCGTTAAACATTGTTAAAGATTACATATTCCTTATTCCTGTCACAAAATTGCGCAATGGAAACTCGAATCATTACTTATTGTTTATAATCACCATTTGATTGTAATTCACTTGAAGGATCCGTAATGATTCTAGAATTTTTTAGAAGGTGCGCAATTAAAGCATTTCTAGATGTATATTTGAATGAGGCGTCATTTTGAATACTTATTCCAGTTAAAAAATTAAACAGAATTCAAAAACATATATTGTTTTTTTCCATTCTAATGTACTATTATAAAAATTAAGCAAATTAAGCAAAATTCAACAAAGCTAAAAATGGTTAATGCCTATAATAAAGAAGACGTTATCAAACACGAATTATTTAACAAAAATTGTTCAGTTTGACCAGATCTATTATCTATTTAAGTTCGTCGTTATCTTCCGGAAACACCTTGTGTGTATATATATATATATAAATACACACACATACACACACACACATATTCTATATGCGTCATGTGTATGTGTATATATTTTTTTTCACCACCCTTGTATCAAACAGTGGTAAATTTGCGTATCTAGTACACTGCTCCTCTTTTCTCCTTTACTTCTTTATAACTGTTCCATAGAAACGACAACGCTAAATCCATTTTAAAAATGTAATTTGTAAACACGTGTATATGTATGTGTGTTTATGTGTTTGTGCGCACGTTCGGATACGCGCGATTAATTAATCCTGACAAAGTCACGCAAGCCGCACTGTAATGACGAATAAGAGAAACATAAGATTCAACGAGTAGTTAAATAGACGGCCGGCGCTACCGCAAAATTTGATCTCCATCTCTTCTGGATGATAGTTTATGCATTTCGGTGGTCTTCGTCGATATAGGCGTTCCCTCCTCGCCGTACATGCTCCGGGTTCGGTCAATGCCTCAATGGGGTCGATGCTCAGCTGTTTACTGCCACACGGGCACAACGTGTCTACCACCAGCAATATCAGATTGGTGTGACGGATCTTTTGGACGCTGAATGGTCTGCGCCGTGGTAAGAAACAAAAGCAAAAAGGGAAAAAAATATATTCATTATATCAATACAGGTTTTCTGCCTTATTTTTAAGACACAGCTAAAGATAACAGATAAAACTAAGACACAGATAAAGGTTAGAAAAGAGAATTAATAAATAAGGCTCAATTCTCGCGAAAAACCTAAACTAACCCCCAGTAAAAGAATGTTCATGTAACAAATTATATAAATACATATAAACATGTATAAAATATATAATTATCGAGACGATTATTTATAATTATATGTGTAATATTATATACTCATATGTTTCTTTTCTTTGTAAAATTATAATTATTTAATACAAGAAAAATGATAATAAATAAGAAGAAAATGAGAAATAATGATAAGAATAATTTTTTTTATAATAAAACGAAGTTAAAAAAATGAGAAAAAATTTTTCCATATATAATCATACCTAATGATTGAAAATATACATATAAAATATACAGGGTGTCCCATTTTATATTTGACAGTCAAATATTTGGAAATCGCGAGGTTTGAGAGAAAAATGATTCAGACAAAAGTTTTGGGACTTCGAGGGGGACATAAGATTAATAACATTAGTTTGACTCTGAGGGGGTCGTCAAAATCAGGACAAGGTCACTTTAAATTTTTTAAATAGAACCTCCTATTTTTTATTGCATATTCTTGTAATTTATTTCGAGAGCTTTCCAAAACACATAGACAAAATGTATTTTGGTTGTCTCTTATACA